CCAGCACCAACAAGGTGGCAGTCGAGAGAGATGTAAAAGCTTTCATCGTCGAAACAAAGGAACGGAATACCCGGGTAGCTGTGAGTTTTTCGGTATTTTGGACTTCCGTTTTATAGCTGAAAACGAACCTTTGCTAGTCATATGACAAGTAAGAGAATTGAGAGATCGCATCCGTCTACGGTCGCACATCTCCGCCTTGACGGGCGTTTGTTGTCCAGGGCATTGGCATGCACCAGGAGCGGAGCGGCGTTATCTCCTACTACAAGCAACGTATGTAACAACGTGAGTGTTTGCATTGTAGCTGCACTTGATCCGCATGTTAAGGGAACCATTTGCGGTGACACAAGGCCTTCGTAAGAAACTTTTGTGCTTGATGTTGCGCTTCTGCCCGAAGGAGACTTGAGGAGTACAGAACAAGATATTCCAAGGCTTCTCATAGCCCCTCCAAGAAAACCAGGGCTTTGACATCTTCCGATGCCTTTCGTGGCCCCTGAGGGGGATTTTACATTCACAAATCCACGACATCAAGCATATCCAACACGAGGCTTCGAACTTGGTCTTCCACACAGCTCACCCTACTTCTTTGCTACCACTGCCTAATCCGATAATACAGATTATCTGTTGGCATCGGGCTCAAAGCTCCGCTTTATGGTCAAGTTCAGTGTTTCTCCATAAGTCTCCGAGTTCAATTCAACGCATTATTGAAGGAGGGTCGTATGGCGAGCACTCGCACTGTCGACCCCCCCGATTACTCGGACGGATCCCAATCCTCAGTGCTCGCGTCTCCGAGTCGGTTATCGCGTAGTAATTCTAAATGCAGACGAACTGCTACGCTGCCCTGAATGTCAGTGCAATTACACGTTGTTTCGTGCGACAAATGCCAGTCGTTGACATCTATTCTTTCGGCCAGCCGAGATATCGGATTCCTTCGACCTGTCTTGGACCTGTCCATGATCGGCGACTTGTACCCATCCTTGTGTCCACATAGGTCTTCGAGATTGGTTGGGAGAATAAACTCAAACAGAACCAAGATGCCAAGGCGGACCACAAATCATCCGATAAGATAAGTTTTGTTTATTCGAAACGTATCGAAACGGAGATCTTGACCGCGGCCTCTATCGGCTCAACTAGTAGGTAGCCATAGCACCAGCTGCTACTGCCGCCCGTGATATTCCCAATACTTCCAAGGATATAATAGACGATCAAGAAACCTTGAGAATGCTCGGTCTTGGTGCCCGTGGTGGTAACGATAACATCGACACAGCCTCTAGGCGCCGAGGGTTGCGAGGACCGATCGAGGCCGCTTCTGCAAGGAAAATCTTTGGGTCCGCTTGCGTCATCTCTAAAGTGGTCATCAGTGTCCGCGCATATGCTTTGAGCACATCCAAATTCATCGCGTCTCGGAATTCCTCATCAATGGTTGAGCCTGTATCATGAGAAATAGCTTGCCGCTTGTATACGGTGCGCCAGACACCGTCCGTAAAGTGTTCGTAGGGCATGCTCCCATCCGCCTTTGTTTACATCATCGTCTCCTCGATGGCGATAACGGGCTAATTACTCGTTCAATGTCGAGCCTCCCGTCGCGATCGCGTTCCCTTTCCGCAATGCGAGATCTTCACGAACGTCTTCCACGAGTTAGTCTACTTCATATCCTAAGTGTGAAGGGGCATCACCGCCATAGTCATAAATTGGTATATTTCTTTTGAGACACGAAGTTACGCTAAGTCCTTTTGCTAGAATAATCATATGGCGATACCACTAAGGATGGGAAAGAGCTTTTGCTTCGACGACTAATTTCTCACTATGGGGTGTCCGAGGTCAAAACAAGAGGAGGAAGTAACGAAGATGACAGATCAAGAACTGCGTTCAGCATCGGTGCTCGCGCTTTGAGCGCTAACCGATGCTGATGTGCGAGTTCAATCCTCATTGAGTAAACGTCGCGAAGACGGGTGTCTCGGTAGCAAACACCGACGTGCTAAGAGCGGAGGTAACGAAGGGGACGGTCACAGTAACTGTGCAAGGGGCTGCGGTTCCGCTGGGGAAGGGGGCTGAGGTGAAGCTGATCACGGGCCCACAGGGATCAGGGGCCGAGGTAGGGACGGCGGTGCCGGTGGGATCACCAGAGGTCGTCAGTACTGAAGTCGGGAATGCAGTCCCAGAGGGGTACCACGAGGTGGCGACGGCAGAGCTCGTAATTCCAGAAGGAAATGCTGAGCTAACTATACTGGTAACGGACGGCGCTTCCGAGCTAGAAATGGCGGTTGCTGAGGGATAACATGTGGCAGGAATTATGGTGCTCGGGAGTGCGGTGCTGTTGACCGAGCTTGAGAACACCGCGCTGCTGGCTTGACTCGAGGTTGGGAACACCGCGCTGCTGGCATGACCAGATGTACAAGGAGCCGTACCGTTAGCGCTTGCGGAGGGATAATATGTGGCCGAACTCGTGGTGCCCGGGAATACGGTGCTGTTCGCCCCGGTTGGGAATGCCACACTGCTGGGATGACTAGAGGTACAAGGAGTATCGACTGTCAGTGAGGTCGGGGCTGCAGTCGCTGAGGTGACTGTGATGGTGGTAGGGCTGCTGGTAGATGAGCTGGTGGTTGAGCCAGTGACTGTGACGGTGCCAATAGGGCTGCTGGTGGATGAGCTCGTGGCTGAGCCAGTAACTGTAACGGTGACAGGGCTGCTAGTGGATGAGCTGGTGGCTGAGATGGTGACAGGGCTGCTGGTGGATGAGCTGGTGGATGAGCCGGTAACTGTGACGGTGATAGGGCTGCTGGTGGACGAGCTGGTTGCTGAGCCGGTAACTGTGACGGTAACACAAGCGCCTGAGGAAGGGTAAGGGATCGACGGCGGAACGGTGGTCGGGCCATCAACAGATCTAGAGCTAGTGATCTGACCACCGACTGCCGTAGAACTGCTAATTGGGCCACTTATGAACGTAGAACAGGTGGCTGGAACACCAATGGATGTCGTGACGGTGATAGGACCGCTAACAGACGTGGCCTGGGTGGTGGAGCCTGATGATGACGCTGTCACTGGAGTAGTACTAGATAATGACCTATCCACGGAGGGTGTTAGCAGAAATTCTAATGACGGATGGACGAGGTGAAAACTTACGAGATGTGGGCCTGGGAGCTAACTCTGAGAGGCGTGGCCTGGACGCTGAGAACGGCAGCTAGCAAAGCTACGGCAGAAATAGATTTCATGGTCACTCAATCGTAGGGAAAAGGTGTGAGCCAAATCTTGAGACGACGTGAATAGCTTTTTATACCATGGATATGTTGCTAGGAAAGTCATGGAGATCTGAGCGTTGCGTGATCCTTTACAGCAATACCTACTCCACCAAGTACTGCGGAAGCGGTCCATTGACACCGTCAACGGAATAGGTTGACCGTGCTGTGAGTGAGATGTAGATAGAAGGCGCCGTGTAACCATCCTTGAGTAAGATATGACTGTTCGGTCTCAAACGCATATGGGAGTCCATATGGAGCACTCAGTGTTTTATGTGTTCTCTACACGGGAATCTACGGTAAATATTTGCAGCCTCAGGTACTACGAAGGTACTTACCCTGTTTTGTTGAGGCGGCCGGCGCATGGCTGCTGCATCGGCCTTACCAGACCTCGATCGACAATATTGGTGAGAACTGTGACCAATTTTATCCACTGGGGTGAGACCTCGCTGTGCGCTCACAGAAATGAGTTTGCAGCGCACTGTTACGTTGTCGTTAAGTATATGTCGGATAGCATGATTGAATGCAATGATAGCGCGTGACAGAAGGGAAGATGGGAGTCCCTCACACGGTTCGAAGGTCGGCATGTCGGGAACTGGGATTGCTTTCGACGGTGAAATGTTTTTCACATAGTGATCGGCACATCTTGCTACATGGATGAGAGCAACTTGCAAGAGACGACAGGGTCAAAGGCTCAGGGCACGAGGCTGTCTTGATCAGACTATCACTATGACGTGTCCAACTTTGTATCACAGCCACCATTTGGCTCTCTTCCCGAGTCCGCCATGGCAGCAACCTTCGAGATCTATACAGGCAATTTCCAAAATGGATACCTCATACTTAGTCCCCGGGGCTCTGGTAAGTGTGCCGTGTTATCCAACGTGCGCGAGGCCCACCTTCACACCTCAGGCGCCCTGGCGACTCGGACTCCAGCAAGGAAAGTGAGCTCGGGAAGGATGCGAACCCTAGTGACCTGACCCTCTTTTGATTGCGCTGGAGCTCCCCCCCCCGGATTGGCGAGAGAAGATAGTTCGGACGCCTCTGGTGACGTGTCGGGCAGGAACGGTGTACAACATCGCTCGACGCCGGGGACGATCCCGTGGTATGCACATGACGGCGATGGACCGGTGCATGAGGCTGTGCGGTCGTTTGACGACGGGTTGAGGGCCGTCCATGAGAAAGAAGAATACGCACCTCGCTACTCGATCCCTGGTTCAGGTCACCTGCAACCTCTTCCCCCTCGTTGACCCACTCCATCTTCTCCGTAACATGTTCGATCATCGGGGGCGCTGCTCTTCGCATGGTGTTTCGCTGATACTGCCTCTAGAGCTAGTAACACCGTGCCTGGTTCGTGACTGGAGGATACTCCCAGCCATGTCGGCCGTGACGTCTGGGGGTGGGTTGTCGGACATTGGAGACGATGTGGATTGAATCCGCTAGTGCGGTAATTCGCGGTTGACCCAGGGGACAGTATCTTTCGTATAGATTGTTGAACCTACGTAGTCGTTACGTCCATGAGGACCACAATTAGACTCCGCACGGGCTCCAACCACGTCTTTTTCACGATCGAGGGGGTCGAGACTCGAGACAGTCATCTTTTTGAATGAGACTCCGCGATCCCCACCCCTAGTTAATTAGTACTCACAGAAGCGATCTAGTCTGCTGATTCGAATGGATGGACGGAATACTGATCCCACAGCAGCGGTACTAAGATTCTCATACTTACTAGAGAGACAAAAAAAACTGTCAATGACCTATTTAGAGAATAGCCCACCGCGAGGGTCGAACTCGCAGCCTTCAGATCACGTGGCCCGCGCCGTCCGATGTGTTCGTCCGGATTTGGGATGTCCGTAAAAGTCTGACGCTCTAGCCGATTGAGCTAGGCGGGCGGCCGGGAGCTATTGCCATTGGTTGAGTAAGAGGTTGAGCGTGAGCATAGGGATTTGTGGTGTGGTTCCCGGAAGGGGTTTGGAGTTGCGTTGTGTACGTCTCGAGTTTTTTCTTTTGGGTTTGCAGTGGGGAGGGGAAGGAGAAGAAAGTGTGCCGTGCTGCAGTCGAGATGAACTTGATTTGGGTTGGTGACATCAACATCGGAAGTTCTCGAGGCGGAGGTATACTTATGGATGTTGGGACTGATCACGAAGGCCGAGCTCAGGCTGCGCAGTGCCGCTGAGTGCGGACTCAGACTGGTTGAGGCAGAGCTTGCATGTGAGAGGCTTGCGGTCCACTCGGTAGAGAAAAACCGTGTCTCTACAAATTGTGCGTCTGAATCCGCAGCAGCAAACCAGGGTTGATCCAAGCATATCGGTGATACAAGGCCGAGAGCGCACTTTCTAGAACTACATAGGTGCTGGAGAGACAATCAGACGACGAGTGGGGGTAGATAGCCTTGGAGTACATCCAGGATCAGCGGATCGTATCAATGTTAACGTTTAGGCCTTTGGTCGGAGAAGGTTTGTGTCGGGCGGCTCGAGACTGCGACCCCGTGAAAGACACAACTTCGACTACAAAAACTTTCTTTTGCTTTCACTTAACCATAGGCGCGCCTACGATAATGTACACGCCAGGACTCCGATCCAGAATAATACAAAACCGTCCGCAGCAGACCTCAAGGGACGAGCCGACCGAGGCGCGATCGGGGATAACAGTGACACTCACGCGCCGAGATGAATGGGAATCTATAGCCTGCGGATTACGATTTCGTGTGTGTGAATGCACTACTTGAGCGCTAGCCTCGGGCGCCGGGATGATTCAAGATTACTATCCTCATGGCGTAATCCTGCTTTCCCGTGGGTCTCTGAATCCGCTTGACTGGAAAGAGGGGGTTATCATTGAACGGGATCCAAGAATTGTTAGCTATTCGTTGGGTTCGTGGTACGAAAGGGCTCGACTTGGAAATGGGGAAGGAAGAGGAGGACGGGGAGGGGAGTGCGTTCGGCGTCCGCCGAGACTACATGGATGGTGAGCTCAGCATTTATGTCATTGTGAATAGGGCTTCGATGACGTGATGCATGATGGTCAAGTTACGTTGGTCCAGAGTCCAGACAGAAACCGCAGCGTAAGCATTCTGAGCGCTGAGAAGGCGTAATTATATCATGCAGGGATGTTGACTTCTTCATGGAGCAGCCTCGAGGTGCTGCGTAACGATTCTGAATATAGCACCAGGATTAAGGCGCTTCCGAACCCCAGATACACTATATAGCCTAAAATGAACCGTCCAATCTCATCCCGTCATGGGCCGCCTGCAGGCAACCGTACGTTCCAAGCTCTCCATGCCGTTCTCCCTCCCGCGCCCCCTCCCCATGCCCCGCCGCCCGAGGTGCGCATCCGTGGTGCTTGTATGCGCCCTGCTCCTCGGGTACTTCATCTGGTTCGACTCCTATACCCGTACGCGCCCGCCGTTGAGCTTGATCCCCTCCCCGCCGACGCACGAGATACCGTCCTTATCCTCCCCAAAAACTCCCCTCTCACCGCCACCACCACCGACGAACCCCACCGCACGCATCCTCCTCGTCTCGGCCCTGTTCCCACTGCAACAATCCAAGCACTCGATGGAAGACTACCGTACCTGGCTCACCCACTTCCTCGGCCCCACGGGCGTCCACTCCGACGTCTACTTCTACACTACCCCCGCCCTCGCGCCCCTCCTTCTTTCCCTTCACACCCAAGCCCAACGCACGCACACACAGCGGCTGACGATAAACACGACCTACACGACGCCCTGGGATGTCCCGCCCATCACGCCGCACAGAGCCAAGTACGAGAGGATGCATGCGTGGGACCGCGAGAGGGGGAGACATAGCCCGGAGCTGTATGCGGTTTGGAACGCGAAGCCGTGGTTACTCGAACAGGCACTAGCGGTCTCTTCTCAACATACCCGTGGAGGGGAGGGGTATGATTATGCGTTTTGGACGGATGCGGGGTCGTTCAGGGAGGAACATGCGTATCGGGCGTGGCCTGATCCTGTGCGTGTGGAGGAGGTGTTCAGGGCGGGGAAGGAGGGGGGTGGGAACTTGGAGGGGGATCCGGTGTTTTTTCCGCTGTTCACGCTGCCGGGGAGGAAGGAGTATGGGTGGAGGGTGGAGAGGGGGCCGGTGGATATGGATTTTAGTGAGGGTGAGCTTGATTTTCTTCTTTTTGGCTTTTGGTTCTTTGTTTCCCTCCTCCGTTCCTGGGGCCGCCGCTGCGTTCGAACGTTGGGATCATGAAGAGAGTTAGAGATCGTCGTGATCGGATTGACGTCGAGAGCGCGACCCTGGCGACCGACGTCGGTGGGTTGATCCGGGCCGAGGTGACGTGTATGACGAGTCGCCAACTTGCCACGTTTTTCGTCACCGCGCAATTTCACCACCACCACTGGCACAATTTCCCACCCGGCTTTGGCGCACAATGACGCGAGATGCGTCCTTCGTTGCTGCTTGTTATATACTGTCTTGGAATGCGATCTGAGGACTGTCGACCATGTACCTTGCGCACGATTCGCCCGAGGTATCTCAGTCGTGGATGTCGTCCATCCTCCTTCCGCCCTCAACCTCACCCTCGTTGGGTTGGGACTCTGGATCTTGAAGTTCCTCGTCATTTCATGCGTATCGCCGCAGGTGTGCGCAGCTTGGATTCTGGACGTAAGAAGCTGGTGGGAGAGGGAGAGTCGGGCTGCGCGCGTCAGATAGATGCCCTCGCGGCTTTTTCGAATGGCCCCCTCGTTCTGCTGGTTTGGTGTGCGGAGTTGGGGGGCAGTGGACTCGAGGATGATGGTTATACCATACCGACTTCCTCATTGAATTTTCGTGGCTTTCTAGCCATCCCTTCCACTTCATACCTTTCATTCATCTCCCGCTCCTCTTTCTTCCTTTCTTTCAGTTGTCCTTTACATAAGTGCTAACCCTTCTCCTCCCCCCCGCAGGCTCCTTCTTCGGCTCCACCCCCTCCGGCATAGCATGGTACGCCCGGGCGTTCTACGCCCTGCACGATCACTACATTTCGACCACCCCGCCCACCCCCTTTACATCATCATCTTCATCCCACCACCACCCACATGCCCCAATACCGGACTCGGAAGAAGCGCCCCCGTTCCATTTCGTGGGGAAGGACCAGACGCTGATTAATGCTCTCATGTTCCAGCACCCCTCCCGTTTTATAGGTGTTCTGGCACCCATGCGCACCGCGCTTCTTCCGCCCTTTGTCTCCCCTTCCTCTTCAAATGAGGCATATGCCCTGACGTTCGCGGCCACCCTCGCGCGTATACACACCTCCCTCCGTATAGGCGCCACGCGGCTTCTGGGCCTGACATGTGGGTCGGACTGGTATTACTACCAGTGGTGGCTTGCTTCGGCGGAGGAGCGACGGAAGACGGAGGAGGTGAGGGGGCGGTGGTGGTTCGGGTGGTTTTCCCAAATTGGCGTCGGTGAGGGGGCGGAGGCGGGGAAGGGAGAGATGGATGGATGGGGCCGGGGACTCGGGAGGTGTGAGGAGGCGGGGGTGCTGAGGGTTGACGGGGTGTTGAGGGGGTTGTTTGGGGGGAGGTGGGTTGAGGAGAGGGTGCGGGAGGCGGAGGGGATGGGAGGCTGAGAGCGTGCGTTGGGTGTAGGCTCGGGGAGTGTATGATTGTGTATTTGTTTTGTGGGTTAGATTATGGGGTGGTTAGACAAATCTGTGCGCATTCTGCACACAATGATCGTGATAAATTAGACGCCTACGTTCTCCAATATTCGTTGGCCATGGCCAGCTCGAGGCCAATTTTACTTATGACTCACGGGAAATCAAACTTCATTTGACCCTAGGTCGGACAGGCCCTATATCTACCCTTCAATAAAAGGCTTTGGGATGTCCTCTCAAGTCCCCACCCGCCAATATTCTTCATTCTCACTTCTACCATGGGACAATACTTCAAAGTTATCAACCTCGATAATCCCTTCCCGGTCCGCACGTTAATGTGCGGAAAGTTCGGAGAGTGCTTCTGGGAAATCGACGCTGAGGCGGACAGGGAGCTTATGAAGGCGCTGTGGCAAGGGGAAAAGAGCAAAAAAGTTGTCACCATCGATCCGTTCAGTCAGCTCAGACGGCTTGAAAAGCCTTTTTGTATTTGGCGCAAACGCGTGGTATTGCCTGAAGAGTGAGTCTATTATCATAAATCTCGTCTCTTCCTTGAATTATGACCACGGGAATCTTAACCTAAATCCATCGTACAGATCCCTTGCAAACTCAATTCTCCCAGTCGAGCTGGTTAGCATGATCCTCGAGGAAATAGAAGACCTCACGGACATGGTATGCTTCTTGCTGACCTGCCAACGGTACTTTGAAATTGGTCGACCCACTCTCGCGGCGCGTTTCCAAGAACTTCTCACTTATTCATGGGCCGGCAACCGCCTCATTTGCGCTGGTGACTACACACGAATCGACAATCTCCCCGAAGGCATGCTTACCGAGGATGACGAGGAACTTATTGATGAGGAATTCGAGCATTTTGACGCAGAAGACGTGGAGACTCTCGTATACGAGCAACTACGCTTCGTCCAGAATCTTCAACCTGACTGGTACCTGAACCAGGAGAGGGCCATGTTTCGCAAGAAAAACGCAAGATTCTCGTTCTATTTCATGCGCTTGCAGGAGACGAATTACCCCCACCGCGATCCCTCACGAGTGGGCTGGGCCGGGGAGCGTGACGTCGAGGTGCTAAAAAAGCTGACCAAATCCACCAAGCGGAATTTCCCAGGTCGCAACCAACTCTCCGAGGTGTATGGCTCCTACGTCCTGCGCAATCTGACCACCAAGGAGTATATCCGTGGAGACGCCGTGCGTGAAGCGTGGAACACCCCCGATATGCCGTACCTGCGCGCACTCCGCTTCACGCATCTTTTGGTCCTCAGAATCACCTGGTCCCAAGATTCGG